GAGAGAGAGAGAGAGAGAGAGAGAGAGAGAGAGAGAGAGAGAGAGAGGGAGAGAACTTCAGATAAGCCCTGTTCACTGAGGACGCGGGCTCTCGCCAGCGCGCAGGGCGTAAATCTCAAGACACTTTCTGGAAAGAGCAGGATTAATGTCTGCCCTCCAAGCCCAGCGATTTTGAGACCCTAATCCAATCCTGGAGGCTCCCGTACCTGAAGCACAGATCTCACCTAGACGCCAGCAGCAACTGCATCAAAACGCTGGCGGTCTCCTAGGCAACCCGAGGGGGCGGGGCGGGCCCTGCTGACAATTCCTTCTCAGGGAGCCCTGCCACTCAGCAATAGCAGGAGCCCACGCGGAGTAGTGAAACTCGCCACTTCTTTCAATGTTGAGTCCCTGGATTGCCCTTAAATATTCCCAAAAGCTAGGCGTTCAGAGAGCCTGTGCAGATCTTGACTGTTGTGGTCAAGGGATCCAGTCTCGCTTTGTTGCTCTGATTAAAATCAACTTGTGCAGGTAGGTAGCACAAGATGAGCTTTGTCTGTTAGACTCTGAAAGACTGTGAGTCTCAGCATCTGCTTGATACCCTGCTGGGTAGAGTATTTCAGAGGCCCTCTGTGGTAGGCTCCTGTCCTGTTCCCTGTTTTCTCCCTCTTCCAATGTCCCCCCAGTTAGCCTTTCTGAATGAGGAGTGAGCATCTTACCCAGGGTCCTCCTTCTTTCTTAGCTTCTTTTGGTGTATAGATTTTAGTATGTTTATCCTATATTATAGGTCTAATATCCACTAATAAGTGAGTATATACCATGTGTGTCTTTCTGCTTCTGGGATACCTCACTCAGGATGATCTTTTCTAGATCCCACCATTTGCCTGCAAATTTCATGATTTCCTTGTTTTTAGTTGCTGAGTAGTATTCCATCGTGTAAATGTACCACAATTTCTGTATCCATTCCTCTGTTGAGGGACATCTGGATTGCTTCCAGATTCTGGTATTATGAATAAAGCTGCTATGAACGTGGTTGAGCAAATGTCCTTGTTGTATACTTGAGCATATTTTGGATATATGCCTAGGGGTTCCCTAGTAAGGGGAACAGGGACTGTCTTGGACATGAACTCAGTGCCAGGCTCTCTGATCACCTCCCCCTGAGTGGGCACAACCTTACCAGGCCAAAGAGGAAGACAATGCAGCCAGTCCTGATGAGACTTGATAGGCTAGGGTCAGATGGAAGGGGAGGAGGACCTCCCCTATCAGTGGACTAAGGGAGGGACGGGGAAGAAAAGAGGGAGGGAGGACTGGATTGGGAGGGTATAAGGGAGGGGACTACAGCTGGGATACAAAGCGAATACATTTTAATAAATAAAAAAAAAATAAGTTTCTTCTTCTTCGGGAAAACACCAAATGGACTCAGTGGAGGACCGGGAGGCCCAGGATTAGGAGGCCACAGCAGCTTCTACCCAGGATTTGGCAGCGGTGTTAGGGGCTGCAGGTCAAGGCTGAGGCCGTGGGCATTGGTGAGGCTGCAGGGCTTGTGGAGGACAAGGAACTGATTCCTGTCACCAAGCTCGGCCACCTGGTTAAGGACATGAAGATAAAGTCCTTGAAGGAGACCTAACCGTTCTCCCTGCCCATTAAGGAATCTGAGAGTATCGACTTTTTCCTGGGTGCATCCCTAAAGGATGAGGTTCTGAAAATCATGCCAGTGCAGAAGCAGACACAGGCTGGCCGGCGCACCAGGTTCAAGGCTTTTGTTGCTATTGGGGACTACAACCATCACGTTGATCTTGGTGTTAAGTGCTCCAAGGAGGTAGACACTGCCATCCGCGGAGCCATCATCTTGGCCAAGCTTTCCATCATCCCTGTTCAGAGAGGCAATTGGGACAACAAGATTGGCAAGCCCCATACTGTTCCAAGCAAGGTGACAGGCTGCTCTGGCTCTGTTTGTCTCATCCCTGCCCCCAGAGGCACTGGCATCATCTCTACTCCTGTGCCCAAGAAGCTACTGATGACGGCTGGTATTGATGACTGCTACACATCAGCCAGGGGCTGCACTGCCATCCTGGGCAACTTTGCCAAGGCCACCTTTGACGCCATCTCCTAGACCTACAGCTATCTGACCCCTGACCTCTGGAAAGAAACTGTTCACCAAGTCTCCTTATCAGGAATTCACTGATCATCTTGTGAAAGCCCACACCAGAGTCTCTGTTCAGAGGACCCAAGCTCCAGCTGTGGCTTTTACATAAGGGTTTTTATATAAGAAAAACAAAGTGAATTGAATCTGTAAAATAAAATAAATTGTAAAAAGAAAGAATCTGAAAGATGCTGAATGAGGGTACTAGAGAGATAGCTCAGTGGTCAAGTGCACTGTCTGCTCTTCCAAAGGACACAGGTTCACTTCCCAGCACCCATATGGCAGCTCATGACTGTCTGTACCACCAGCTGCAAAGGATCTGACACCTTCATATTAATACACATAAAATAAAATTAAGTAAGTTATTTTTTTTAAAAGAGGCTGAAAGAGATTGAATTTTTTCCAGTTCAAAAGAGGTTGGAGGGCTCAGAATTCAGGGCTTAAGACCTCCCTGGCCAGAATGAGAAACACACCAGACACAATCTAGAACAGTATTCTCAACCCTTTGACAAACCTCTGTGCTCAAAAGTATTTTCAATATGATTCATAACAGCAGCAAAATTACAGTTATGAAGTAGTAATGAAAACAATATTACGGTTTTGATGATGATCTAGAGACCCTCATATACTGTGGAACGCTCTGCTCCATGGTGGCAGGGTCCAGGAACAGACCTGCTGGCAAAGTCCTTCCCACACTGATGTCCTAGAGTGAGTGACCTTCCACAGCTGGTCGCAGCATCAGAAACGCAAAGGGTGATGACTAGAAAACACTATTCTCATTCCTTGACACAGGTGGAGGAAGCAGCAGATGCAAAGCCCTTTCAGTCTCATTCTTTGGTCCAGGGAGAAATAAAAGAAAGATTGGATTCATTTTAGCTGAGAGAGAGAGAGAGAGAGAGAGAGAGAGAGAGAGAGAGAGAGAATGTGACCCAGGGAAGGAATGAAAACTTTTTTTTTTAACAGAACTTTTTGTTTGTTTGTTTGTTTGTTTGTTTGTTTGTTTGGTTGGTTGGGTGGGTGGGGGGGTGGGTTTTGGTTTTGCTTGTTTGTTTGGAAGGGGGTTTCAATCTCCGCTCTTTCTTATACCAGGAAAGGCTGCCTGCTTGAGCTTCCACATCAGATTGTTGTCCTTGCCTGGGAGCTGGCCATGGTAGCATGTGGTCTAGAACAAGTAATGAGATTGCAGCAGTAAGTTAAAATCCCCCAACTAAAGAAAGTCTAGGGGCAGATGAAACCACTGGTGAATTTTACCTTCAAAGAAGAACTAGTGTCAGTCCTTCTCATCAAATTATTTCATCAAACAAAAAAAAAAGGAAAAAACTTTGTTAACCTCTTTTTATGAAGCTGGTATCATCTTGATTCCAAAACCAGAGAAATAAGCAACAAGGTAAGAAAATTTCAGACCAATCTCCCCAATGAACACAGATCCAAAAGTTTTTAAGAAAATACTTAAAAAAAAACCAAAACATTCAAGACTACATCAAAAAGATCACTCACTGAACACAATCAAGTTGACTTTATTCCAGAGATGCAAGGATGGCTGAAACTAAGTAGATCAATAAATGTTTCAAATATTGTAAATGGATTTAAAGGCTGAAGTCACATGCTCATTTCAGTTATAGAAAATGCTTTTAGCAAAATCCAACATTTCTTCGTGTTTTCTAGGTGTCTTCCTCAATTTCTTTCTTCCGTGTTTCAATGTTTTCATTATAGAGTTTTTTTCAAGTTTTTGTCTCTTTCCCATTCTAAGGTACTTAAAAAAAAAAAGCTTCTATGAATGAAATTCCTTCTGCGTTATTTCATTCTTAATGTGTTTGTCATTGCTATGTATCAGTGCTACTGATTCCAGTGTTAATTTTGTTTCTTGCCACTTGCTGAAAGTATTTATCACTTCTAAGAGTTTCTGGTGGAGTCTGATAGGTTTGTCTATGGTCCAGTGGATGGTCCTACACCCATGTCAATGGAGGCAACCGGATTCATCAGAGCTATATTTTCTAAACAAAACAAAGCAACAACGGAAAACAACAACAACAAAACCATTGGGCTGATTAGTTTTTATTGCCAACTTGACACAATTTAGAGTCCTGGGAAGAGGAAAACTCCATCGGGGGATTGCCCAAATCATAGTGACCTGTGTCTATGCGTATGAGGCGCTGATGAGTGATGTTCCCAGCCCACTGTGGGCAGTGCCACCCTGGGCAGGTGGTCCCAGGTATTATAGAAAATCAGGTTGAGCATGAGGCAGAAGGAGCAAGCCAGTAAGCCATGTTCCTCTATGGACTCCGCTTCAGTTTCTGCCTTTGGGTTCCTGTCCCGCTTGAGTTTCTATCCTGACTTCCCACAGTTATATACTTTGACCTGGAAATGTAAATGGATATAAACCTCTTCCTTCTTATGTAGCCTTTGATCAGAATGTTTTATCACAGTGACAGAATGCAGACAGGAATGGGCATGAAGGTAGGAGGGAAAATGTGTTGGGCGAGTGTCTGGGAGAAAAGGGAAGAGGGAGTGGGGGTGGGTGGAAAAGACACATACAGACATACATGCACAATCAAGACACATAGATATACATATATGAAATGGTCAAAGAATAAACTGAAGTATGTTTAAAGATAAAAACCTTCCTCACTTACTATGAAAAGGATATGCTTATTATTTATTTCTGATAGTGTTCTATTATTAGAAATACAGTCCATTTTATTTATGTTACACTTTCAATGCATAGTAACTGTTTTTCATTTCAGTTTGGAGCCCTGTCCATGCTTGGCCCCAGGGACTTGACCTGACTGGGAAACATGAGAGAATGAAAACAACGATAGCCAGCCTAGCACATGGACAGAATGCCAGCCGTGTGGTAGTCTGGGCTCTCAGAGGGAGAAACCGCAGAGCCTCAGAAGCTTGGCTCGTTTGTTACACAGAGTCGAGCAGAGAGGAGGGGTTATGAATGCAGAGGGACAAAGAAGAAGCAGTGTTTCCAGTACCAAGGAGGCAGGTTTGGCTAACCCGGGTAGGAACAGCCTCTGAAGCGGAGCAGACTTCAGGCCGTAAATACCTGGATGGAGAAGGCCATGGTGGATATTTTCTACATAAGCTGTCTCAGCCCTCTGAATGTGAGGCGATGGGCTCTGTGTCAACACATTCACTCAGGACTTCACTTCCTCAGGGCTTCTTCCATCCTCTACAACCCGGGAATGTACCCAGATTGCTGTTCTAATCATTCTTGTGTATGGTGAGCACACACAGCCATTTCTACTTGGCCTGTAATTAATTCTACAATTGCTGTGCCAGTGTGTGGTGTCCAATTTAGGAGATGCTACCAAAGGTTCTGAAAGTGGTAACAGTTCACACACACCACAGTGTGTGCCTAGTGGTCTGTAGCCTCCCCAGCATTTGATAGTCACTGGATTTTATCCTAGCCATTCTGTGGTGGCATAGAATCATGGTTTTAATTTACATTTTCCTGATGAGTTATATAGAACACAGACAGACAAACACACACACACTCACACACTTGGATCTTTCAATGACATGAGATCTGTATTAGCTCCCTGTTACTGCAACAAAATGCCCGAGATAGTGAATGTATGGAGAGAAAAAGTTTATTTGGGCTCATGTTTTTGGAGGCCCACTCATTTTGGCTTCGAATGAGGCATCATGCTATTCATGGTAGGAATGTCTAGTGAGCAAAAAATCCTCATCCAATTAGCTAAGAAACAAAGAGACCAGAGTCCTGAGATCTCATCCAGTGACTTGAGGACCTCCTAGTAGGCACCACTCCTCTACAGGTCCCATACCTCTGCATGGTGCTGTCCCAGGGACCAAGGTCTTAACAGTTCAGGATCTTAACCTGGGCCTTTGGGAGATACGCACTCAAGCCACAGAGACAACCAAAGTTGGATCTCTTCCTTTCAGAGACTAGAGTGTTGGGTACAAGCTTAAAGATATCTGTGTGCTTTGAATACCTTTGTTCTCAAGCTGACACCTGGAGTTGGGGTGTTGGCCCCTTTTGCAAATACAGATATCTGTGAATAAAGAAACACAAACTAATTTGGCCACAGGGCTAGAAAGTGGGGTGTGTGTATGTATGTGTGTGTAAGAGAGAGAGACAGAGAGACAGAGAGATTTCCATTATCTCTGCTTCTAGAAGCAAATTGTTAAAGAGCTGTTGTAGAGCTTCAGCTGGCACAAGGACCAGCAGGACCAAGTGCACATAACAACCAGGTGCAAGCACTCTGAAACTTTGAGTCCTCACGGCACTTGCCTAGGCTCATAGGGGACTCTCAGCGGTCACACTGATTCTGCCCTGGGCCACTCTGGGGCATGACAATTGGGTAGTGCTGGGCTCTGCATAAGGACAGTGTCTACACACACCCCAGCCTGACACTTGTGTCTTTTTGAATGAGCTTCACCACCTTTTGGCACTGAACCCAACATGTGACACAGACACCATCATCAAATGTCCTCCTGCTTTAGGAGGAAGGCCCCAATCAGCTCGGATTCCATCCCCCGTAGGCCATGGGGTAGAAAGTCCACTTCATACTTCTTTTAAAAAATTGTCTTAAAGATTCATGTTTATTATTAGTTTTACTTGTGTGTATATGTGTCTGGCACATTTGTACAGGTGCCTGAAGAGGCCAGAAGAGGGTCAGATCCCTTGCAGCTGGAGTTGCAGACACGTGTGTGAGCTGCCCAATATGTCGGCTGGAAAACGAGTGTGAGTCCTCTACACGTGCAAGAGAATGCACTTAACCCGAGCCATCTCCTCTATCCAGCCCCTATCTCATGCTTCTTAATAGGTGACCCCCAAGACTGCCTACCGGAAAATAGTGGAGGTCACTGAGGGGCAAAATTTGTTCCACAGGCATTGCTTTTTATATTGTTTTTCTTTTTTGTCAAGGGATTGAGACAGTCCTGGATTTAAAGCCTCAGTCTAGATGGGCGACCTGCAAGTGGCCAGGGCTGTCTATCCTGTGCATGAACAGTGCCTGTGTCATCCTGTCCCATTGTAGGGAGCGGCTGCTGGTTAAACTGAACCTCTCTTGAGAGCAGATGGCCTGGCTTTGGAGCAGAAGTTGGTGGTCCCATCAGCAATCTGAGCAGGTCAGCAGAATCTGCATGAACTCTTGGGAACCATGACCTGACTTTGATTTTCTAAGCATAATGAGTTTCGGATTGTTGATCAATGTCTGCAGCAGGAACCACTTCGTTCTGGCCCTGGCTGAGAATCGGGGACCTAGGACAGAATCAGAGTAAAGAGATCAGGGGGTGGGAGTGGGTGTTGCCTCTGCTATTCTCAAAGACCTTTGGAGCAGATGCAATGCAATAGTGTGGCAGGAGGCACTGGACTCCGGGGGAGTGACAGGTGTGAGGATGTGAGTTATCCCACAGACCTGTGGGGAACATAAGTGAGAATGTCTGAGCCTGTCAGGGGCAGGAAGAACTCAGAGACCTTTCTGTAAACAATAGGGCAATCTTAGCTGTACTTTGGAAACAGGATCTGCCGGGTAGCCTCAGGTGGTCACTGGCATCCCAAGACAATGAGATACAGAGAGCTGCGCTAGCAGAACTGGGCCTCAGCTCTCGGATAGGCGGCTAAGCTAGCCTGCAGGACAAGGTCATGCACTTGACTAATGGGAGCTGTGCCTCCTGAGCAGCCTGGCTTACTGGGATACAGAGGGAGGGGAGCAGGAAGGGAACCTGGATCCTCTTGGGGATCCCAGGAATCCATGGGTATCTATTTTCCACTCTGAACCCAGTGCAGGTCCAAACAGGAGACGTTACCCGCCGATTGGTTCAGGCACCAGTACTTCACAGTCTTCTGCAGCTTCCGATCCCTGTGACTTGTGATCAGAATGTGGCAAAAGCTGACCAGCACAGGGTTGGTGTGATAATGGTCCACAAAGAGCATACCAACCCATGCACAGAAGCCTGAAACCAGGAGAAGGCGGGTCAGGCCAGGTTGTGCCTCCCATCACTGCCCAGTTTATACTTTTTGTGATACGATCGCTATTCTTTTTAGTTTGGATTTTTGAGACACAGTCTCCCTATACAGCTTTGGCTTGCCTGGGAATCACTGTGTGGACCAGGCTGGCCTTGAACTCGCCTGCCTCTGCCTCTCCCGTACTGGAATAGTGCCAGTCATTGTTTGTCCTGGTGGTCTGAGTTCTTACAGAGTTAAGTAAAGATCTGGGGGGATTCTTGAAGAGAAATATTCTGCTCTGTACAGTCGATGGAGAACTCAAGGCTTGAAGGGGCTGAGAACAGCCACAAGACAGAGAGGGCATCAGTGCAGATCCTAAACAGCTGAGGGAAAGTGTGACCATGCTTGGGGCTAGAAGGGCTAGTTCTGCTTCCTCAGGAATGGACAGTTTTGATTTTAGAGTACATTCCACCAGATACTTTCTTCACTAAATGTTCAAGTAACCATACTAATAATTCTGAGATGTGTTCTTGTCTCCAATCTATTTGGAAAGTATGAGTCACCTGTCCCACACCTCAGCAGCCTATGGAAGGGGCAGGGTTAGATAACTCCCTTCTGACCGCACACCAGAATACACATTTTTTTGCATGTGTTCTTTCCCCAAAATTACAATTACAATAGCTGGCTGTCTAGTCAGCCCTAAGGATCCCCCATCCCCGACCCCGTCTCCAAATCCCAAGTACTGGGATTACAAGCAGATCATTCCATACATGGCTTTTAACACAGGTTCTGGAAACCAAACTCAGGTCCGCATGCTTGCACAGCAAGCCCTTTAATGACCGGTCATCTCCTCAGGCCAGGACACATGTGTGTCTATCGCTTGCCTTTATGAGCTCCACCAGAAAACAAGTTATAAGGCTAAGGCAGCTTCCACAGAGGTGTGAGGCCTGCTATTCCCCTAAGGAGGTGGCCAGCAGGACTCACCCATGTCTGCACCCTCATAGCCGCTCTGCATGATGGTTCTGTCAATGCGTGCAATCAGCCACGTGCCCAGGAGGCAGCTGATGAGCAGCCTGGAGAGGCAGGCACCCAGACCCAGCAGCACGTTGTAGAAAAACAGGAAGTAGTTGAAGTTGTGGAATGCTTTCCTGCAGAGAGAAGCAGGCAAGAGGAAGCCCCTCCTTCAGGCTAGGCGACAACTCAGCCAGCTCTAGCTTCATCCAGACCAGGGGTTAAACTCTGCAATTCTGTATCCTAAGCATATGACCTCTGCTGGATGGCAGGTGGAACAGTTCTGGAGGGATGCGTGGTCCCTGGTTGGGGTGGGGGCTAGGGAGGGATAAGGAGCCCTGAGCACATCAGAGTGAAAATGCTACTTTTTTTGTGTGACCTATGTATTCTTGGGTGAGACCTTTTAGAGGACAAGAAAAAACATGGGGCTACAGGTTTAAGGATGGCAACAAAGCTGCAGTTCACCACCATTGCCATAAGGACCCCGGCCAGAGCTGTTCCTTTTCCTACAAAATGAAAGGCCCAAAGGACCACCTGACACGGTCCTATTGCCTCAGGACCAGGCTGCATCCTGAATGTCACAGAGCCCTCTGACAGAGGACTTTCTGGTCTTGTCACTCTGTCGCTTGGCATCCCCCACCGTGTAACATCGTATGGTGGACATCTGTGTCTCCCAACACACAGAGCTCGCGTCTCGCTACTTCTATCCATGGTGCGGTAGCTGTCAGCCTGTTCCTCCTCTCCACGGGCAGAAAGTGTAGCACTGCTCTGCTCCCCTTGTCCCCTGCCTCTCCCACCCTCCCGGCCTCTGCTCACCCCTCCTCAGCTCCTTCTTTAGATTCCTCAGGAATCCATGACCCCGTACCCATGTGCCGGCCTCTCCGGTGAGCTATGAAGCTCTCAGAGGTGGTGGGTGGAGAATCTAACTCTTTGTCGTCAGTGCTAAAGGTTTCCTCAGTGAACGAATGAATGAGGGAGGACTGTATGTGCTTGGCGGTGCCGTCCATATGTTACATCTTTCATCCTTAAAACAACTCTTTAAGGAACGCAAATTAACTAACACATGGGGACGCTGAAGGTGACCTGTTTGGGGAGGCCATACAAGGTCGCACGGCTCTCCTACTACCAGGAAAGGCAGTTCTGGGTCTCATATCCCACCCCTGTGCACAGCGTTGTAGCCTCTCATGGAATTCAGAGCCCTCCAGAGCCTGCCCACCGCCAGGTGGACGGCCAAAGGAACAGCGCAAGCCCTACGTGCCCCTCCTCCCTCCCCCCTCCTCTCCCTCACCTGTTGTTGAGAGCCAGGGGTTTCTGCTTGTCAGCTGTGCCCAGTTTGGGCTGAAGGAAGAATCTGCCAGCAATCCACACCTGCAGGATCATGAGGCCCACAACAATGGAAAGGGTGAGGCTGAAACACAAGACGGGTTCACCCTGAAGCGGTCTATTCTGCTGTTCCAGGCCCTTCTCTGACACACAGTGAGAGACAGGGAGACAGAGACACACAGAGCCTGAGAACGCCCACCTAGAAGAGCAGCTGAACAAGCTCTGAGCTTTGGTCTTACCCATTACCAAGAGCATGGTGCACATGGGAGAACAAAAAAAAAAAAAAAAAACCCACAGCAGGGAGGTGGTCCCCAAGGCCACATGCTGATTCTCTAGCTCCAGGTCATAACCATGGTTCCCATGATGCCCCCTTTTTTGCCAAGAGTGGCAGTCCTAGCCAAGCACGTGCAATCCTTTCATGTTGAAAGTGAAAGCAAAGAATACGCTGAGAAGGCTGCCAGAGAGCTCGGGGACAGGACGGGTGCTGTAGGCACAGGTGGCTGCAGGCAAATGTGAAGTCAGGGGGTTCAGAGCAGCAAAGTTCCTGGAGAGTGGGACATGCTGGAATGACATGGATGGTGACTAAAGAGGGCTTGGGCTCCAGCCAGCCCCCTCCCTCAACATAGCTCTGAGCCTTCTAGCACTTGTCCTGGCTGCACCAAACTCCCAGAGCCATTATGAGGAAGAGGTGTGGCAAGTACTCAGCAATCAGCCGCTCACTGTCTCCAGAGAGCCGAGCGGGGCTCTGAGAAAGGGAGGAATTTTACATCAGGCAGCACAACACATCAGATGACTTATCCATGATTCGGACCCCTTCCTTCCTGTGCTCCAGCCTCTCACTTCATCCCCTCCAACTTATTTCCTTGCTGGAAAATGGAATTCTAAGTATCACACAGATAAGTGTGAAGGTCCCATAAAATGATGGGAGAGGAAGCTTGTTTAAAACATAAGATTCCCTCCCTGTGGGATGCTGTGATGACCCATCCCTGGGCCTTCAGAGCCGAGACCATGGACCCTTGGCTGGGTCTTCAGGATAAGTAAGGAGAGGACATTTGCTCAGCACTTACACCCCAAGGCCCAGCCCTTGCAGCATCTCCAGGCCTTGGTGGTGGACGATGGGCAGCACCAGGCCATGCATGAGCATCACACCACAGAGGCTCTGTACCACATGGACGATGAGGTAGCCTGGAGATGAAACACAAAGATCACTAGGGTTCGGCATGGCCTGCTCCATACTCCTTCCTACAGGCAGACCTGACCTACGCCCTCTTCCACCAGAGGGCGCTGTTCCTCCTGCTTACCATGATTTCCTTATCTGCCCGCTTACAGGACACTCTGATACCTGTAGTTCAAATGTCAACGCCTACAAAGCCCTGAGCTAGCATGGAGGGCCGCTTCCTCCTCTGCTAAGCAAAGACAGCCAGTGAGATGAGCAGATGACATACAGTGTTTCTCCACTACTCTCCAGACTCCTCAAAGCTGGAAGCTATGACTGCTTCTCCCGCCCTGTGTCTCTCCTCACAGCTGGGGCTCTGCATGTGCCTAGGGAACATGTACCTGGCTGCATGGGTCACGGTGTGGTACTTACCCCAAAGGATGTAGGCTATTTGCCAGCCAGAGTACCTTGCAATGGCCACCTGAGAGTCAGAGGCGCAGAATGGAGGAGTAAACGTCAGAGCAGAAGGAGAGCGTCTTTCCCCTGAAGACTTGCAACCCAAGGCCCCCATCTCGAGGGTGACCCGTCAACCAAAGCAGGTTGGTCACATGGCTGCAGGTTCATCTCTGCTCCCGCTGCCCTGTCAGGTGTGGCTCAGTGCCCCCGCACGCTCACCATGCTCGCCTCTGAGGAGGGACTGCGGAACTTCTGGGGGAGGAACTGTTTGTCTCCAGCCCACAGCCTCTTCATGTGCTTTCTGGGGAAGAGGAAAAGCAGGGGACACTCATAATCGTGGTCCTTTCTGCAGGGTCTGTGCTCAACGGAAAGGCCCATGGAGGCCTGAGGGTATCAACTGCAGCTCCTGGCAAAGTTCTCATTTCTCTTCGACGTCTTCAAGAATACTATAGTTTATAAAAACAATACATATTGATCAATTCACGGTGGAAACTGAATCTGATAAATTAGATTATATATGTCTTTTTCTCATTCTGCTTTCGGTACTTCTTGTTCTGTCACTGTGAATGCATATGACTTAATAATATTTTTAAGACTGTTAACACCAGGAAGCTGATTTTGTTGCTAGCTTAACCTTAGAGCAACATGACGAAAAAAAAAAAAAATCAAAGACAGGCAAGATGGCTCATCAGGTGAAAGCACTTGATGCAAAGCCTAATGGCCTGAGTTCAACCCCCAGGACTTACACGGTAGGAGAGAACTAATTTTCTCTCACAAGTTGTCTTCTGACCTCCACACATGCCACGGCACAAGCACCCACACAAACACATCATGCACATGTCCACACATACAATAATAATAATAATAAATGCATATTTGTTGTTTTTTTTATTTTGGGGAATATATTGTTTGTTTGTTTGTTTGTTTGTTTTTGAGACATGATTCCTATACATAGTTCTGAATGTCCTGGAATTCACTATGTAGACGAGGCTAGTCTCAAACTCACAGAGACCTGCCTGCCTCTACCTCCTGAGTGCTGGGATTAAAGGCATGCGACACCATGCCCAGCCTAATATATTTTTAAACAGAAAATAATTTAAAGGAGCAAAAGCCCCTCACAGAACCCCACCTCCTCCACTTCCTTTCCCACACCCCTGTCCAGTTCCTGACCTATGTGTGAAGGCCAGGTGTTGGCATAATGTTCTTGTGGCCTGTGTACAGTTTACGCTTGTTCATTCAAATGTGATTTCTCTACCCCACTACCTGGTTTCAATCCAGATACTGCACTGTGGTATTTATTCCAAGTATCTCCTGTCCCAAGTTTGTGTAGACATGCCACCATTTGTTCCCTGTATTGTCAATAAAAGCCAACCAGCCAATGCTGAGTAATACAGAGAATAGGGTGGGACATCCTGGTCCGGTGAGGGGAAGAGAAAGGACAGAAAGTGCAGGATGGATCCATGAGGAGAGACCCAGAAAACATCAGGAGAAATGAACAGGACCTAGAATATAACTAAAAAGCAAGTAAAATGTGAGAGATCTGAACGGGAAAAAGCTATACTAGCTTGGAGGTTTAGAAGGGTTAGGTTTAGGAGGTTTAATGCGCAGCATTGTGCTCTAAGCTAATTAAGTAAATTCTAGTCTCTCTGTGTGGTTCTTTGGCTTTATAGTTGGTTAGGGAGTAACTGCTGCTCTACTAAAAAATATAAATCAATATTAAATATTAATAACCTTTCAACAGTCAGGTTGGAAGTTTCCTGTTCCTAGGCCACACTCACATTTGTGGATTACTGTTTTTTGAACACTTTGTATTCAATCTCCAGTATTTTTCCTGGCTGGATTCTACTCTTCGTGATCACTAAACTGAATTCTTAGAATGAGAGAGAAAATGTATCTCTTGGTCCCAACTCCCAGGGATTGGGATTCTGAGTCAACTCTCCTTCTTTCCTTCCTCACCCAACCCTTAGTCTCAGCCACCAACACCCCAGGCACTCTCTCCTGGAAACCCACTGGCCATGTCATCCATGGAGTCAAATCCTCATGGCAGACCCAGTTTTCCTCCCTCCTGTTGACACTCTCAGCCTCTGCCATTCTATCCTACCCCCCTTATTCCCAACGCCTAGAAACAAGTTCTACTCCAGCTCCCAAGTCACACCTGGCAGGGACCCGCAAGCACTCCCTATCAGGCAACCCATAGCCACCACATGTTCCTAAGATCCAGAAAGGACGACAGAAGCCAAGGAAGGAAAACCCACCTAGTAAAGACAAGACAAGACACTAAGACATGGAATTACAACAATCCCCAACCCAGGTGCCTAGAAGCCAGCATAAACACACACGCAGCAGCAGCAAGGACGATATGTCTCCACTCGGTCCAGCAATCCTGCTACAAAAGACTATGAGAAACACAATATTGTTGAAAGAACTTCAAAATGGCTTTTGTGAATACAGTCAAAGACCTTAAGGAGGATTTGAATAAACCCATTAATGAAATCCATGAAAACACAAATAGTGGAATGAAATGAAGAAAAGTGCTCAAGGCATGAAAGAGAAAACAGTCAATAAAGAAAATCCAAAGCAAGGGAAAACTGGAAATGAAAAATATAGGAACCTCAGAAGCAATCCTCAGCAACAGAATTCAAAAGAAGGAAGAGAATCTCAGGTACTGAACACAAAATAGAAGAACATGGTCAAATGCCATTAGTGTTAAAGGTTAAATCTAAAAATTTCAAGTCACAAAATATCCAGGAAATCTGGGACACCATGAAAAACAAAAACAAAACAAACAAACAAAAACCTAAGAATAATAGGCATAGAGGAAGAAAAAAAAACCCAGATCAAAAAGCACAGAGAATATTTTCAATAAAAATCATAGAAGAAAAATTCTCTAACCTAAAGAAGGAAGTGCTATCAAGGTACAAGATGTATACAGAGACACAAAGAAAGCTGGAGAGAAAGAGACAGACAGATAGACAGAGACAGAGACAGAGTGACATGCAGAGAAAGAACACAAGCATGTGTCCTCTTCCTGCACTGCTGTTCTTGAGGTAGCTGCTCCTAGGCCTCCTGACCTCACCTCCACCAATGTTCCCCTGAGCTAGACTTCCCTGTGGAAGCCTGGTGTTATCAGCTCTGAAAAGCGGGGCAGATCTGACACCCAACAATGAAGCAGAACACACAAGCAATACCAAGGTCTCTGGGTCTCAGGAGGATTTGCCCCTCTGCTCAGTGCTTGAGCATGCTGTTTAATCTTGTTGAGTCTCCACTTTGCCACCTGTAAACACTGAGAGGAAAATATTCACTTCCCAAGGTTGGAGTGAAGCTGGGATGATGTTCAACCTGATAGTTACGCTTATATTATTCTCAACAAAAGTTGTGCTTGACCATACTTGGTCCTTGTGTTCACTCCCTAGTGCCACACTAAGTCTGGGTGAAGTTGTCGTGCCTATTTTTGGCTGAAGTCATACAAATGGCTCTTATGACTCTCTTACCTGTAGCAGACCAAAATGTGGAAGAGATAGCTGACACACGTGAGGGAGGCAGGAACAATGGTCACCACCCAGGCTCCTGGAATGTGAAGGGTGACATGAGAGGGCTCAGAAAACACGCCTGAAGTGGAACAGCAGAGCACAGATCCTCATTGGGGAGATCTAAGCAAACTGGTTACACTCCTTTACCTCAGTCTCTGTGGGTCAGTCTGTGCCCAGTTTAGCCACATACATCCTTGGTAGAGTTGATTTCCTGCATGACCATCTGAAACCTTTGATAGTAAAATGTTCTAACTACACTCAATTGATGTCTGGAAAACTATGCATGAGCTACATCATCAAGAGGCCCCGTCCATGGAAAATACCATAATGACTGACTTCTAATTGCAACTTTGGGGGAGGGGATGGAGTGGGGGTCCACTGGTTACAGAGCAGCTATTATCAAGAGGTTGTAGCATCCATCTTTCAGCAGGTTTTGTTATTTAGGATGTGTCTTGGTTACTTTTCTGTTACTGTAACAAAATACCCTGGCGAGGCAGTTTAAGGAAGAGAGGGTTTACTTTGGCTTATAGTTCTAAGGTACAACAGTCATGGTGGGGAAGTCATGGTGGCCTTTGGTGGCATGAGTTTGAGGCAGCTAGTCACATTTCATTGCGGCCAGGAAGCAGAGGGAGATGAAAGCTGGCACTCAGCAATCCTTCTTTTTATTCAGTCTAGGACCTGGCTTATAATATTGTCCCATCCACATTTAAGGTGAGTCTTCCTACCTCAGGTAACCTAACAAAGCAGCTCCCTTGCTGCCATGCCCATAGGTTCCTTTCCTAGGTGGTTCTAGACCTTGCTAAGTTGACAATCAGTGCAAACCATCATGGGCTCTACTTGGCTTTCAGAAAGACTCTGAGTGCTCATGAGAGAGGGGTATGGAAACAGGGAGAAGGGTTAGTCATTGGGCTTAGAGCTTCCATGGAGCTGGCTCTCATTAGTTGTGGAGGACTATATGACAAACGCTCAGCTGACTAGGAAGAGCAGAGAACTTCCTCAGCTTGTCAGTCAAGGGGCTTCTACTAACAAGCCACACGGGACATTATTCTTCAGGGTGAAGGGCTGAAAGTGCTCACCTCAACCTGTAAATCAAGAAAAAGTGGTGCCCACTCTCACCAGTTCTACTGGAACTGTAAAGAAGGCTCTGACCCAAGCAAGCAGACAAGAAAAGGAAAGTAAGAGATGGGGCATGTCCTGGACTCCCAGAACCTCGAAGTGGGAGATGGAGGCAGGAGCATCGGAAATTCAAAATCATTCATTACATTTGGTTCAAGGCTCTCCTACGCTACCTTGCCTCAAGGCAACAACAAATGTCCAGAACAGAGGCGGAAGTGGAGACTGCCACAAGTAAGATTAAGAATGGGTGTTATGGAGCTGAGGAGAGAGCTCAGCCATCGAAGACTAAGGCTCACAACCTAGAATGGGCGTCCCTGGACAGGAGGGAGGGCTCCACAGTTAAGAGCACTAATTGCTCTTGTAGAGAACCTGGAATCAGTTTCCAGGCTTCATGGTAACGCAAAACCATCCTAATTCAAGTTCTAGAAGATCTGAGACCCTCTTCTGACTCTGAGAGCACCAGCACAGAGGTGCATACACACCTCACGTAAAAAAATAAACAACTCTTTAAAAAAAAAATGGGTGTAGTAAAATGTCAGTATAATGTGCTCTTTGGGTGTAGAGCTCAAGGACTCGTCACTGAACATGTCTACACTAAAGACCCTTAAAATGTTCACAGGCCACAGTGAAGCAGTGCGGAAGGATCAGCTGTTGCCTCAGTGTTCACTCACAAGGTAGCTTTCTGTGACCACAGAGCTATAAGAAAGCAGTTCATACCAAAGATGTCCTCTTCTGGCTTTGATGGGAAGAAAATCACTTGCAACAGGCGTCTTAGGACTTGCAGTGGTTCTCAGCCTTCCTAATGCTGTGACCCTTTAATCCTCATGTTGTGGTGACCCCCAACCAGAAAATTATTTTGTTGATACTTCATAACTGTAATTTTGCTTCTGTTGTGAATTGTAATGTAAATGCAGAATGTCTGATGATGCCCAAAGGGGTCATGACCCCGCAGTTTGAGAACCACTGACTTAAGGGATTGTGGTAAGGGATTGTTCCCCAGAGGGTCAGATGTTGGAATGCTTGGTGCCCACTTGGTGGCGCTGTTTGGGAAGTTTAGGAGATGAGGCCTTGTTGGAGGAGGTATGTCATGGCAGGCTTATTTTGAAAGTTTAAAGGCTCTTGCTCATAATGCAAGATGGGAACTCAGCTTCTGCTCTAGTGGTCCTGCTGTTTGCTACCTTCCTGCTACAATGCACCATAAGCCCACACCAACCCTTATATAAGTTGCCTTGGTCATTGTGCCTCCATGGATAGACCTGCCGGTGCTTGGTCTGTTTAAATGGAGAGAGGGAACTGAGCCCAGAATGCACTTGCCTCTTATCTCCTGACTGTGGGTCTGATGTGACCCACTGCTTCAAGCTCCTGCCACTTTGATTTCCCTCTAGGACAGCATGTGCCTAGAACTGCAGACCAGAATAAACTTTCTCCCTTAAGTTGTGTTTGTAGCTTATCACCACAACAGGATAGGAAACTAAAACAACTAAAAATCAGAAATGTCTATGGGCAGCTTCAGTTCAGCCTTATCTCTCTTTCCTAGTGGACCAGAGAGGCACAACCCAACTCTAACACAGAAGAAATCCAGACACCAGGGTCAGGCAATTCGAATGGGAGTGGATGATGGGAGTGGATGGCTTTACCTTTAGCGACGCTGATCAGTTCCTTCACCTGTAGGATAACTGGGGTCAAGGGCCCCGTCTCATTCATGTGGATGAGGTAGCTCTGCAGCTTGTCTTCAAACACATCCAGCTTGTCTCTCACATGCAGAAACACACAGAATTCAATGACGATGAACTGGAGATGTAGAGCGCAGGCGTCAAGGTCCCCTGAGACAGGCTCTTTAGAGCTGTGGGCCAGCCTTTTCCAGGTAGCCACAAACTCTTAAAAACGACCACATGCAAGCTCGTTCTTCAACCATAATGACTCAAAGAATACTTGAAAGATAATCTAATCCAGTGATGGATGGTTGACCCCAGGGGCCATACCACACACACACACACACACACACACACACACACACACACACACACACAC